AGAAGGAAGGAAGGGAAGGAAGGAAGGAAGGAAGGAAAGGAAGGAAGGAAGGAAGGAAGGAAGGAAGGAAGGAAGGAAGGAAGGAAGGAAGGAAGGAAGGAAGGAAGGAAGGAAGGAAGGAAGGAAGGAAGGAAGGAAGGAAGGAAGGAAGGAAGGAAGGAAGGAAGGAAGGAAGGAAGGAAGGAAGGAAGGAAGGAAGGAAGGAAGGAAGGAAGGAAGGAAGGAAGGAAGGAAGGAAGGAAGGAAGGAAGGAAGGAAGGAAGGGAAAGAAAGAGAATTAAATTATAATGCAAACAAAATAATAGTTCCTAATAAATTTTCAAGGGTATCCTTGATATTTCTTATTTAAGACTGGGATTGGTGTTGGGGCCTGTCGACATCTTTGATGTTCAACGTCTTTGTTGGTGACAGGGACAGTGGGATTGAGTGCACCCTCAGCAAGTTTGCCAATGACACCAGAGGGACCTTGACACACTTGTGAGGTGGGCTGATGCCAACCTTATGAAGTTTAACCATACCAAGTGCAGGGTCCTACATCTGGGTCAGAGCAATCCCAGGCACAGCTACAGGTTGGGCAGAGAAGAGATTGAGAGCAGCCCTGCGGAGAAGGACTTGGGGGTGTTGGTTGATGAGAAATTGAGCATGAGCCATCTCCAGTGTGTGCTCGCAGCCAGAAAGCCAACCATAGCCTGCGCTGCATCAAAAGGAGTGTGACCAGCAGGTCCAAGGAGGTGCTGCTGCCCCTTTACTCTGCTCTTTTAAGATCTGACCTGGTGTATTGTGTGCAGTTCTGGTGTCCTCAACATAAGAAGGACATGGAACTGTTGGAACAAGTCCAGAGAAGGGCCACGAGGATGATCAGGGGACTGGAGCACCTCCCGTATGAAGACAGGCTGAGAAAGTTGGGGCTGTTCAGCCTGGAGAAGAGAAGGCTGCGTGAAGACCTCATAGCAGCCTTCCAGTATCTGAAGGGGGCCTATAGGGATGCTGGAGAGGGACTCTTCATTAGGGATTGTAGCGACAGGACAAGGGGTAATGGGTTAAAACTTGAACAGAGGAAGTTTAGATTGGATATAAGGAAGAAATTCTTTGCAATGAGGGTGGTGAGGCATTGGAATGGGTTGCCCAGGGAAGTTGTGAATGCTCCATCCCTGGCAGTGTTCAAGACCAGGTTGGATGAGGCCTTGAGTGACATGGTTTAGTGTGAGGTGTCCCTGTCCATGGCAGGGGGGTTGGAACTAGATGATCTTAAGGTCCTTTCCAGCACTAACTATTCTCTGATTTTTTAACTCTAATTCAGGCCAAAGATTTTGGCTTTTCCTTTGTAGCAGGTAGCACGTTCAGTTTAGCTTCCGGTTAAGTTCCAACTTGGGTAATTTAATTCTGTTGTTCAAAATTCCTCTTGCAGTTTCCATTAGATGCAATCATCTAATTTTCACTTCCTTTTCTGAGTTGTTGAGTAATATTAGTGTGCATTGTTTCAACAGTTGCTCTTGATCATCATAGAGATGCTTGCCCTGTCCTGGTGGATGATGCAATGTGATCCTTGCTTATGGCTTGTATATCAGTTGCTAAATCTATGAAGTGTTTTGAGATGGTGGAATTGTGCATAAATCATTATTATCAGGGTGGTACTCTATTGCAAAGTCAGTGTTCAAAAATAATTAAAGAAACTGAGAACTGAATTTAGATCTCATTCTGAACAGAAATCCCACTGGTCTACATTACTGAAAAACGGCATATGTGTGATTTGGGAGATCAAACTGTATTGAATGCTCTCACAAAGACATATAGATATTGGAGCAAGATGGGTGATCTTAAACCCATTCACTGTTTTGTAGTTCATGACAGTTCCTCATTTCACACCTTGAGGTTTTCTCTGCTCTGAAGAGTGGGCCAAGTTTATGTATACTAGTGAAGATTTACTTCCCTGTGTGGCAGTGTGAAAGATGGGGCTCTTTCTATAAAAAGGACTGTCTAAATTCAGGCATCAGTAACTGTAGACCCACATGAAGGTAAGTAGAAGTGGAAGATAATCAAGGAGAACTGAAAATTACACTGTAAATTAATCTTATGATGATAATGATTAAAGACCTTTGCTTTACTGGACCTGTATTACAAGGTTGTGTGTTAACCCCCCCAATTTGTTAATTATCTCCTGCAATGACCATCAATAACTGACAGTCACTTATTTAGTTTTCAAACTGATTTGGCGAACTTGATGTTCTTTCATTCTGCGTATCTTCACTTTCAAATTCAAAATTAGAATTCATTTCCAAATTTGTATTTCCCAGACATGCAATTATATCAATTTGTTTATAGTTTTCTTCAGTGAATGATCCTTGATGAGTTATTCTGTAAACAACTCTCTGTGGGCTTCTGTGATTTCAGTGATATGGCATAGAGTGGCAAGACTTACTTCATTTGATGACTTAAAGGGGCAACAAGAAAAAGCTCTCTGTCAAGCATGTCCTCAAGGCCAAAACTGCATTTTTGCCCATTCAGTGCAGCCATACTTCATATTGTAGTCCCATTTAAAGATGGTTTTATAAGGGCCAATATATGACCAATAGATGTCATTAGCACATTAGAGACAGGATTTATAAGCAGGGGAACAATACAGACTTTCTACAGTCCCTGTGAATAACTATTATTCTCTGCTTTTAACACTCTGTAAATACTGAGCTATTGAAACACCCATGAACTCCTTACAACCTGCAACGCACTGAGTGACTAGATTAGCTACAGGTCTGATTTGGTGGGGCTGTTCAACACTGGGCCTTGAAAATGTCACCTTTGAAAAGGAATTTACCTGTCCATTCATATGACTGCTCATTTTTTTCCCTGTTTGCCAAGCTTTGACCAGGGTCCATGACACGGGAACTGTGCATGTTTCTGTAACAGGCTCCAGCACTATCCTCAGCCTGAACTGTGAACTAGTCTGGTTTTGTAACTGTAAGGTAAGGATACTTCTGAATTCTTTCTGGATACTACCTTTGCCCATCCTTTCTGTTGGAGACTCAAGTCTAGAAAGGTGCTGAGGGCTATTGACTACCTTCTGCAGTAGTACCCTGAGGAAGCATGCTTCACCACGTAAAGCCAAAAGGCAGAAAATCTTCTTACTGTGGAACAATATGTTATGCCGATGAAAGCAGACCATAGCACCTCACTGAATGCAGCTGTACAAACACACTTCTCCTCCACCCCAGGCTGAGGAGAAAGGGGTTTGCCCAAGACACTTTAAGGGGCCAGTGGCAAGGCAAGGATCAGACCAGAGCTGCTAATGCCTGGACTTAGTCTCTTCTTCTGCCTCAGCCATTTAAAAGCCCACCTGCAGTTCTTAAACTTAGATTTTCCCTTGAGTTTATTGCTGGGCCAGGGTCTAAATAGGGAGGAGATAACTACATAATACAAAGTAAATAACCTGGAGGTAAATAATGTGTTACATAAATAATAGACAGCGTGCACTTCCTGACATTTGTGCCATTGACACCTATTACAAAACATGCAAATGGTCTGGCAAGGGTGTTAGCTCTCTGGATATGAATGGAAAACAAACAAGAGGTGAAAGGAGAAGAGAGGCAAAGAAGCTGGTGAGATGATGCTCTTGCCTCAGAAAGCTCCGGTGAGTGCTATTGTCTGCCAAAGACAACCTTCTCTGTGAAGAAAAGAACTAAACTAAACTCTGTGAAGACTGCAGTAACTTGTCAGCTCTGCAAGAGGCAGGGAATGGGAAGGGACTGACAGTCAAGAAAGGGAAAGAGATTTTCATGTGGGTGAGGAACAACTGGAGACCATCTGTCAACTCTATTTATCAGGGTTCTTTCAAACCTGGTAGAGGAGCCAGCTTTTCCTTTGTCTGTGATGAAAGTTTGGCAGAGTTTTCCCTCTTCTCTTTTACTCCTGTCATGTGCTGGGATAACAGCATAACCAGACTGCCTTCAGGCACTGTGAAGCATTAACCCTTTCCCTTCTTCTTTTCTCCTGTGAGTGCTCTGCCCCTGCCATTCTCCCAAGGCTTGGTTGATTATGAGGGCTCATTTAGCTGGTACAGCAGCAGTGATGGGAAGCAGGGAAGGATCTGAAGTGGCATGTGCTCAAGCCCCCCACTGTTGCTGTTTCCTCCCTTGCCATTTTCATCTTGGCTTGGACTCTCTAATTTGATCTGTCAGCATAAGCACTGCCATCAACAGCAGAGCCATGTTGAGGCAGGATTCTGCCTGAGGCCTGTTCAGGCAGTGTGACCTTGAGGTTTGAGGGTGTAAATCTCACGAGCAGCTGGCTTTCTCTAAAGAAATCCCTCAGAATTCTTTACCTTAAGCTCCAGGACCTGGAATTGAGTCTGGTCTTTGTTCCCAGCCCCCCACCACCTATCCCACTGCCTCTGGAGAACCAACAACAAAATGTATGGATGAGCAATGACTTTTTTCCCCTCTTTTGTCATTTTTGATGATTCACTTTGTGACCTGATCAGAGCAGGAAGTGGAAGGTCATGACTCATTCAAAGGAGCTGGGCATGCACCACTGGGGAGCCACAGCCATATCATGAACCCTCTCCCACAGCTATGTTTTTCATCTTCTGTCTGTGATACTTCTGTCTAATAAAGTTACTTTGAAGTTCTTGAAAGGGAAGGTGCTTTGAAAGCCCAAACTTCCTACCTCAGGTTTAAGATTGAGAGTCCCCACAGAGCAAGTGAGATGAACACATGGAAGATGCTGGGTCCCTTGTCCTCAGCCTCCTGTCACTGCTGCCTGCATGTTGCCCTTTTTCCAAATGCAAGATTTCCCGCATGCAGGGAGTATTTGTGTCTGGCCTTCTGGATCTGGAGGGCTGCAGGAATCACCTTTGGGGGCTGAAATGAAGCTCTTGGCCACTGAGGTGTGCTGCAAAGTTTTCTGCTGGGAATCCGTCACTAGGCAAAGTAATAGAAAGTCTACAGAAAAGAGCTGGGCCAAGTTGGATACCCATTGGGTTTGCTACCGACAGGCACTGTTTAGAGCACAGGTTCAAATTCTGTCTCATTTCATTCTGAATCATCCCTGTTTCTGAGCAACAGCAAAGTCTTTTAGCAGTTTGGGCAAGTACAGCGTCCAGTTCTGCATGACTAGCAGTACTCAGATAGACAAGTTTATTTCAGACTCAAACCTGGACTAATAATTAAAGCCCAACACTAAGGGTTTGGAGTGGATGGGGGAGAGTTAAAAGAAAAGTGACTTACTACTGTGGTGAGAGAAAAGCAGGAAAATATTTGTGGCATATGAAGTAGCATTTTGCATAGCTCTGGATAAAGAGTCCATAAAGCATCTCTGCAACAAAGTCAATTGATTCATCTTGGTAGAAGGCTATTTTATTAAACCCTGAACAATTCTGTGGGCTTTTACCACTGAAGGATATGTCTTGCTTTCTTAGGCAGCAGGCTGCAACTAATACTATACAGCTTTCTTCAACCACGTACTTATGACAGATCCTTTTGGGTATTTCCTCAGTTCACAATCATGATTATATGTGAATGCCATCCCATAGAGGTTATACACATGGATAATACTCCCATCCTTATAGTTACTTTGGCATCAAACTCATTGCTACCAAAATGAGAGGCTTAAACACTTCTCAGTGCTTTGGCTGAGGCTATGAAGCTGCATGTAGAAAGGCAAAAGGTTGAGCCCAGCTTTCCTGACACTCTGCTCCCCTTCTTACATCACATATATTGTCCACTTTGGCAACCCAAAAGGATATCTGGCTTAAACTGTCTTGGCAGGATACACCATGGCTCAGCTGTGAGATTCTGCCCTGAACGACTTTCTTCCCATGAGTAAGGACAGAGACTCTCTTCCATTCCTGAGCACTGTGCATCAGCCAAGCTCTGCAACAGGCCCTTGGTCTCCAAAGCAGGCAGGTGGGACTGGGCAGTGATTGAAGCAAAATGGGCAGATTTGAACAGCCCTCCCAAGGCATTTCTACTGTAGGTTAGCTGAGGTGGATGAGAACTTCTAAAATCAAATTGTTAAGAATAATCCCAGGCAGTTGGCTCACAGAGCTTTTATTTTAAAGCTTTGTCTTGCTATGTTTGCTGCTTTTGGCAAAGCCACAGGGTAAATGAGTAGAGCTTCATTTGCATTCCAGCATTTAATTATAGGAAAACAATCTGCTTTGCTACATGGTTGCTCTGTCTGGCAAAACACTTACTGCAGGAACTGGTGATCCAGCCTACTATTAAGGAGCAGGTATTCTCCTGCAAGCTGCAATGAATCCGAATTCAGTGTGCTGCACTCAAGACAGCTGTGTTGGCATTATAGCGATGTGAGGTGGCAGTTAACTCCTTGCAGAACATGGTCACAAAGTCTAGGTTGCATCTTCTCTTTCTCCACAAAGACTATCTTTGAGGTCAGAGGGTGAGACCTCACAGTCCGGTGGTTAGACATGGATGCAGTCATGCAAGGGAAGGCATGGGCAAAAGCAGAAGATGCTGAGATCATTCATAAATGCTGGGAAAAGTAGTGTGTGGAGCTCATCCACATGTGAATGTATCAGCCTTGTCCTTTGTTATAGGGACATATGCTTAGCTGTCACCTCCCATGCCTGTGTTATCAGTGCTGACTACAGTCTGCTTCTGAAAAACTGAAGCCTGGGGTTCTCTTTGGAAGTGAGTCTCAGATGGAGCTGTCTGCTGGGAGATGCTGCGATCTGTGTTGGTGTTGGGGGTGTGATGTGCCTGGCCTGAGAAACACAGAGTAATACAGTCCTCAGAAAAAAATGTCTGAGAAAAATAGGGGTCTTACTTCTCCCAGCTTTATGTGGCCCTAAAAGCCTGAATCATATTTCCATTCTTCTAGGAGACATAGACTTCCTCATTGTTCTGGCTGGACATTTAATTCATAAACGGGCAGGAATACTGAATTCATGGGTGACTTTGGCACTACCAAAATATCTCTTAATTAAAGGGACCACAGATGAGAATTGTCCCACTCCACAAGGTACTTTATGTGTAACTAGAAAGGATTAAGCAGGGTTCATCAATGCACTTAAGCCTCTGAAGATAACAAAATTCAGTTTATTTTGTAGTTAATGGGAAAATATTAGGTTTTGTATGTGCTTATGACCACTGACTTGAAAGGCAGGGTGTATGTGGAAAAGACAGCTGACAAAGTTTCAAGTAGTCCAGGAGATTTGTGGAGCTTATTGAGAGCAATTTCGTGATGCATACAGTTGACAAACCGATGAGGGAAGACACTCTGTTGGACTTGATACTCACAAATAATTAAGAACATATTGGACATGTGGAGGCTGAGAGCAGCTGAGCTGCAGGGACCTGCAGGCTGTGCTGTTTAAGACCCTCAAAGGAGTGAGCAAGACAAACAGCAGAATGACAAGCCTGGAGTTCAAAACCTCTCTCAAGATAGGTTTCGGCCTCTGTAGGGACCTGCTTTCCACAGCCTCATGGAAAATTGCCCTTGGGGGACCAAAAGGATGCAGGAGAAAATAACTGATCTTCTAGGACAGCTTCTTCAGAGCACAAGAATGATAGTGAATGATCTGCTTCAATGTGCAGGCAGCTGAGTAACTGTGGCAATAGGTCAACACAGAGAATGTGGACCTGTCTGAGCTCACATGTGAAGAAGGACTCAGAATGTGGAAACAGGGACAAGCTAAGGAGAAGATACAAAGACATTGCTCGTGAATCTAGGAATGGGGTCAGGAAAGACAAAGCTCATCAGGAGCTGAGATCAGCAAGGAAAGTGAAGGACAACAAGTGTCTTTCTATGACAACACTCGCAGCAAAAGGAAGGCTAGGACAGCCAGCTCACTGCTTAGTGACAGAGACATAGTGACAAGAGGCATTGGAAAGGCATAGGTATTTAATGCTGATTTCACTGGTTCAGGATTCAACAGCACAGGTTCTTTGGCCACCTGATGTAGTTAGACTCACTTTGAGTGGAAAATAGGACGGGAAAATCTCTGGAGGTCCCTTCTAGCCTAAACTAGTCTTTGATTCTGTGACAGGACACCCAGAATCAGTGCCTGATTCTGGCTCTGACTTCTATGTAGTTGCACACATTGTTTGGGAAGCAAAGGGTGAGGGTGTATTAAACTTCTAGATACTAAGCTTCAGGATTAGGCTTTCTACTTCAACTTTTTACCTGAGCCTGGCAAACACATCTAGACAACTGGGTGAACAAATGTTCAATTCGAGATGTCTACATGAAGCTATAAACTAAAAGGACGAGTTCATTTGTGCTGATTTTGTTGTAGTCATGAGAGATATACTGTATTGGTGTCCTACATTAGGAACACATATCAAACTGTCTATTAGGACCTCTGATTCCTGCTGAGCCATAAGCAAGGCATGGCCATTCTTCATTTGGATGAAGCGATAAGGAAGCCTGTGCCCTAAGATGACTGCTAAGTGACGAGTCAAGCTGCAACCTCACGATTACTAGGTAGGCTATTTTTTTTTCTTTTTTTTTAATGCAGAAGTTGCTTAAATTATGGTCTGATGACCAAGCAGTGAGCTGATGGTCTTCTTAGCCCTTAGTTTCCTTAGGGACAGGGAAAGGTGGGGGGTGTGGGAAGTGAGCTTCAAAACCAAATTGTTAGACCTAGTTCCAAGTAGAAAGCTTAGGATGAAGCCAGCACTCAAACTTACCTTTCCCAAACTCCAGGCCTTGGTCGTAGCTTTTCAGTTCACTTTTTCCCTGCTCTGTTTTCCTTTTCCTAGCTGCAAAAGTTGATGCCATAAGGCAATGTGTTTGCATACATTTGAGTTGTTTGATATGTGTAATTTAAAAATTCAGAGTTATATAGGGCCTAGTTAGTACAGAATGAGAAAGCCTGGTTTATCAATATGGAAGCCAGGTCATTTTCTGCATGGGACAGCTATATTAGAGGGAGCACAGTTTGAATTTAAAACTCTGATTTTCTTTTCTCACTTAAAGCAAGTGGAATTAGTACATTACATAGTATTGTTTTTGTTGAGAAATTATTTCAGTGTGTGCAGGGTGTGTTGATGTTTCATTCCTTCTCGTTTTTGTGTAGCACTATTAATTCTGTCCAAGCTACCATCAAACGTGTATTTATTTTCTCAGGAGTACCCAAATGTTTCCAAGGTGGAGTGAGAAGCAGAAAGTTTCACAGCTGATGTGTTTTTCCCTCTCGGAATGACATCACCACTTAATTCCTCCAGATATTTTACTCTTCATACAATTTTGACAGAAAGAGAAAGCAATTGCCCTTGAAGTTAAGGTGGAGAGTTTTAAAATGACTGAAATTGAAATGAATGAAAATCATGATACAAAAAAATTTACCTCTGAACAATTTTTGATTTATAATAGAAAACATTACATTGAATTTTTATCTATAGTAATTCCAGGAACTTCAGCAGAATCCCAGAAGAAAGAATTTTCCTTTAAACATGGTGGGGGGAGTTTGTGCCTGAGGGTCAGTTTTAAGAAGTTCAAATAATTGAGCTTAATCCTAAATATACTCATTTATGAAAAGTAAAAAGGTGTAATTTCTAAAAAAAAACAGATTGCTTTCTTGTTGTCTTTTTCTACAGTTGACACAGACGTACACAAAATGACTTATACAAAATCAGTACAATAAAGAGCCACCATACAGAACAGCAACAAGTGGTGCTATTTCATGTAATGCTGCTTTTTTAAGTAATTATCATAGGTTTCAACTTCCTGGTAGTAAAACAGCAGAGATCTGTCCCCTTTAGTAGAGTAACTCCAAAAGTGTGCATTGCAATCCAAATAAGGCATTTTGCTGTGGGCAATTGAGATGAATCCCACTATAGGCAGAAAATTTTGGCTACACCCCAGATCTTATCTGTATTTGGAGATATTATCCGTAAGAGAGTTTATGGTTATTTCTATGGATTAGAGATATTTTTCTTTTGTAAAAACCTCGCATTTCTCTCACCTAATTTTTTGTTTTCACATGAAATACCAGAACAACATAAGGGAAACATACACACAAAAATGTTGATTGAATTCAATACCTGATTTCCTCAGCCAAAAAGAAAAGTAAAAAATTACGTTCCAGTAAGCCCTTGAACTTTTTATGTCCTTTGTTTTTCCCTGATTGGAATCAGGACATGAGTTAGAGATTAGTAGGAAATTGAGGTAGAAGGATACAAACCAGGTTCAGCTACACAGACTGATAAGAATTGATTTTGAGGAAGAAGAGACAATGGTTGGAGCTCTTAACGTCAATGGCAAACTTTCCTTGCTTTCCAGATAGGAGCAGGTTAACAGAAATTCAGCAACAATTTGTATGAGGCATATGGTCCATGCAGGTCCAAAAAAGCATGGAGGAAAGAGGCAGTTTGCACCTCAGAGGAAAACAAAATCATCCACATAGCTTTTTGCTGAGTGAGTGAATCAACAAGTCAGCCATCTGCCCTGCTTATTTTCTTGGCAAGAATCCTTGTGGCAGCAATGTTGTGTAAACTTCTCTTTGGAGAGACTTTGAATCAGCTAGCTAGAAAAAAGCTTACAGCAGTAAGTGCAGAAGAAGGGGGGAAAGCATACACATCCTGGGGTTTAGATTTTCAATCAGACTATCTATATAATGGAATGAGCAACAGAGCATCCTCATTTGATTGCTACTTAAGCGATTCCCCAAGATGTTTATAAACATATCTACAAAAATCCTCTGTTCCCGTTATTGGTGATGGTGTTGGATGCATTCCTCGAGGCTTTTGTACTCAGTGGCCTTTAAGAATATTATGTAGCTTTAAATCACATGTCTGCTCTTATTAATTTCAAATGTCCTTCCTTGGCTTTAATTTTTACGTTTCGTTCAGGCCTCTCTTGTCTTGAAGTTTGTTAGAGCTCTATAGCTACTTCAGGAGGCATGGGCATACTTCGTGATGCTCCTGTGGTTTTGGGTAGCATTTGTAAAGGCAACAGGCCTTGCTGCCATAACTTCTGGCAAGACCTGGTGATTTCAGGTGCCTGATCTGAGGCACGTAAAAGAGACAGATTTTTGCACATAAGCAACCAATTATTCAAAAATCACCTGTTCTTTGCAAGACTTGAAAAAATGCCATAAGGAGCAATACAGTAATAGTATGCAACTGCGTTCACAAGCCAGCTCATGCTCATGAGCAGTGGACAACTCTGGAGGATAAGGGGGACAAAATTATGATCAAAGAGATATAGTAGAAACATTCAAATAATATAGTTAACAGCACAACATCCAAGATATTTCCCTGTGCTATAGTCAAGATTCTGAGAGCTGTATTTATTGTTCAGTGTGATTCCACTTTGTTTGGAAGAAAGAATGGGTTGATCTATCCTTAGGTATGCCGTTTCACCAGTTTCTACTTCCTTTTTTGTGGTTGCGGTATCTCTGGGTTAAGTAAGCGAGTGAAGCTTTGAAGCATGTGAACCTGGCTTGTTGGTGACACCACTTAGGGTAGTAATTTATCTTAATATTGGAGCTCTTCCTCAGATAATGGTGGACATGGTAGTGCCCTTTCTGATCTGTCTTTCCTTTGCCTTTAGGCTTCCTGAAAGGTGAGTCTGGGAAGGCAGATGTGCTGGCAGACACTCTAAGGAATTGCGAATCATCTCCCAGCTTTTTCAAACTCCTCTCTGGATTTTCCAAAAAGTGACAGTTCCCTCCATCAAAACGACATTTCAGTGCTGAAAAGCCTTTTCCTTTCAGTGAGACACTGTAAGTCATTTACCTAATTTTCAAACTTTCTATAGAAGTCGATCTAAAAATATTCACATGAGAATTTCCATGAAATTTCAGAAGATGTTTGCCTACAAGGAAAATTATCCTCTTTTTTCAAAATTTCCTGCTTTTGAACTAGATCTAATTGGACATTCTCTTCACTTCCTCCCCCCCCAGTTCCCCTGCCCTGAAGTCATGCGACTTTCTGTGCTGCTTTTACTTCACAACATAAGCAAACATCAGGTATATTACCTCTTACAGCCCACTAGCAATTCACAGCACATCTGCACTGGGTGAGCAAGAAGAGAGGATAAGCAGAAACTAGAGTGGCACTGGGAGATAGTGTCTGCTTAACAGAGGAACCCTCTGCAGGAGTGTGGCAATTCAGCATAGGCTGTATTTCTTTTTGTGATTCTCAGGCAAAAGGGCATACGCATATCTCTAAAAGGCAATCCAGAGCATCAAAGTGGTTAACAGGCAGCAGTCTAGAAGTTGCATGTGAAGTATGAAAGAGAGAGTGTCCCCTGCCTTCACATACACAGAACCAAGGCCGAGGTGTGTACAGAGTTGCATGCATATTTTTTGGTCTGTCAGACACTCCCTGTGTGTGGGCTATTGTTTGACTGCAAGTTCTAATAAATAAGAGCTGACATTCAATTGAAACCTCTTATTTCCCAGCTGCACAGGATGACAAACCAACGGGCCAAATTCCTGGAGGCGCTATGTGCGCCATTTTCTGGGGACTTCACCACAGCAAAGGTGACAGCTTATTGTTTGTGAGGAATGCGTTGGCCATACTCTGGTGTGCATCTATCTGAGCAGCCCTTTGCATCACATAGTTAAATGACAGAGGTAATTAAAGACAGAGAAATGAAGCCTAACAGCCTTCAGAGGAGGGAGATCTGGAATCGTTTTTGCTGAGAGGGAAATCTGGAGACATGGGCAGCTCTTTGGTGGAGGTAAACCAAGCTGGAGCTAAGAACTGGCAGCGGAAAGGAGGTGGGTTTCTGGGAGAAAGGAGATAGTGCATTTGGGACACAGCTCCAACTCCGTTCCTTGTGTAGTGTGGAGGCAGGCAAGGCTAATGATTATGGGTCTCTAATGAAAAACATAGGTTATTCAACTAATTTAAAAAACCAAGTGCAGAAGAGCACAAAGCCTGTCTTTGGAGATTTATTAACAACAAAGAAAAGAGAAAGGTCAACTGCATTTAATATCATGTGGTACACTTGTATTAATAATCTCTGTGAAAGCCCAAGTGAAACTCTTTCAAAGCTTTTGGCTGTGTAGATTTTTGGCTTTATATTTGTGAAAGATCATCTGTCCCCATGTAGGGTGTGTCCCCCCCCACCACCACCACACAACAAAGCAGTAACACCTACAAGTAGTAAAAAAGAAAAAACACATTCTTCCTAAAAATACATCCCTTGCAATTTCCTGCCTCATAATTGTTTCTTTAACTGGAAAAGGATAAATTTATGGCATTGTATTATATTTTGAAATTGAGTGAGGCCTCGAGGACCTGGGGACCAAACTTTCTTTGAGTGTTTGATTTTCATGGGTGCTGACAGGAACATGCCCTCACCTGCATCCTTCACCTCAGAGACCTCATGGTGGTGAGGTGACAGGAGAATAGGGTGAGGTGACTGATCTGATGCCCTGGGTAGAAAGAGAAGATGTTCCTCCCAGTCCCAGGCCAATGCTCTGTGCCCACAACTTTTCCATAGCAGCCAGCCAAGATGGTATTGGAAGGCACAGGCACTGAAGGGTATTGCACTTTTGGCTCTTGGTCTTTCAACAGAGACCTACATTCCCACCAGAGGTTAGAAAACAGCTTCTGATGTGCTGCTGGTGAAGGACTCAACTGGGAGGCAGTGAGCATGAGCTGTCACAGATTCATTCACAGTTAGTGTCCAGGTACCATTGGTGAGGTGGGCAGGAAAAGCTAAAAATCCTGAAAAACCCCTTCTGTCACCCCAGTCATCACTATAAGATATGCAGAGTTTTCATTGTTATCACCCAGCCCTGGCTTAAGACTGTGCTGCTTACAAGATGGACGAACACACCTAAACCTTTCTTCCGTATGTAATGTTTAATGGCCGCTCCACTCCTGTAAAGATGTTCATACTCCTAGCCCCAAGGTCCCAAGGATGCTTAATATATGTCTGAAGAAAAGCTCCAAATTTTTGAAGTGGTAGGGCAGAGATTCTCCTTCCAGGGATTTTATCCAAAGGACTGGTCCCACTGCTCCTGCGTTATACTGCTTCTAGGAAACTGATAGTGAGAGTGTCACTGTATCTCTTTCTGGAGAGATGAAAGAGGTAAAAAAATGTGTATGTGTGCATGTCCAGGCTTTATCTACGCTTCAACACTGCAAGCTGACACCAAAGGTAAGAACAACAAATGCACATCCCCCTCCTAGCGTCCACCTTTGCTCTTCACTGCGCTGTTGGGTTGTAGCTGCAATTACACTGTAGAAGAGGCTCTCTCTGATCATTACATACAAAATGAGGGCCAGAAATCTGAAAAAAACTGGAAAAAAAAGGTTTTATTTTCCCATAGAATTACCTGCTTTCCATAAAGTTTCTTGATTTTCTCTTAATAT